TATAACAATTTTTCTCCTCACTTTCTCAAGCCGCACATCTGGGCACCAAATTTGTCTTGGTTTGAGACAATGTTTTCAGAGAAAAAATGTTAGAGGGTAAATGTTTCCTCTGAAGTGAAAAAATTTATAATTTTTTCCCACCAATATGAAATAGACATAGGCAAAAGTTAAGAGAAAAAAAAAGTAGTTTATTAAAAAAACACAGTGTCCACAGGACACAGATAAAAAGTAACTGTTAGATATTTAGAAGTCCAGGAACGCATGCCGCCCCCTGCCCCTACAGCTGCTCGGCCACGTGGTGTGGACAAAAATGGTGTGGCTCTTGTCCTAGGAAAAGAAAAAAAGAAACAAAAGAAAAGTCCATGTGGCTGCTCGGGCAACAGTGGCAACCTGGTGGCAGTCCTCTCCTCACTGYGGATGAAACAGAGGGCTTGGTTTGCTTTACTGTCGCCGGCTTGGCTTCTTCCAGAGTCCAGGACGAGACRGAACAGCACGGCTTGTCCCTGCCAGTGCCCAACTGGTCAGCACTTGCCTCCTGGKTGTTGCACCRTAGCCCTGCCAATCCGCTTCGGAAAATCACAGGAGTCGCAGAAAGGATAGCAGTCCAGGGAGAGCTGTTTGCCCAAGCTGATAAAACAGAGCTAGCTAAGCGTCAACAACTAACTCCCYKGCATGCAGCAAGCAGAACTTCCACAGCGCCCAGCTGAGCTCCAAAAGCACACAGCTGCATGGCAGCCCTGGCTTTTAACTACCCGTGCTGCCTTTGCAGCCATCCCTGCCCCTTTTTCCGGGTCAGATTTTAAAGGCACAKAGACATTTTGGGCATACAAGCAGATGAAATATAGGAATAGAGTGCTATCAGAAAATCAGCCCACAACACTCTACCATTCTGGTGCAGGTACAGCTGAATTGTTGGGTAACCAACATTTCCTTAAGTGCAACAGCCTGGGGCCTTCACTACAAGAGGGGTGATTGTGTGCTCCATTCAAAGCCCCTCGCCCCTGTTGGCTGYGTTATCCTGTCACGCTTCCTTCTAGGTCAACACAGGGGTGAGTGTGACCACGGCACCGGCCAGGCACGGGAGTGGCAGCAGCACTCAGAGTCTGGTGACGTAGCTTGGAGGCAGCCCCAGAGCAGGTGGGACCCATGGTTGGTTCTATGGGGGCTGCCTAATCTTKCCGGAGCTCAGCCTCACATCGCTTTTATCTCCCCCCAAGGAGAGGGAAAACCGCCTCAAAGTCCTTTTACTGAGAGGAGGAGGGGACAGGATTTTGGCAGAAAACATCAAAAATTTGTTTTTCTCCAGGCTGGGAAGAACAAACCAAAGCAAACTGAGGTGGCACCCCCAGCAGCGCCTCTGTGCCGGCCCAGCTGAAGCCCTCGCTGGCTGCTCCAGGGTGCATGGGCAGACTGGGAGCACTGGGAAGGGGCCCCGGCTCGGGGCGCAGCCCCCGGGGCAGCCCCACGGCCCCCACGGCAGCTCCAAGGCTCCTCCAGCCGGGATGGAA